GATCAATGTAATGAACATAAACTATGATCAGAAGTAATTCTTTTAGGCAATATAATAACTGTAAAGTTTGATTCTGGTTTCAGACACGGTTACATAGTCAGTCTAGTTTTATCTGATTTTCAGTTATAATTAATGTATATAAGTTCTGTTTGAAAGTTAGTATTATAGTTCTATATAATATAAAGTGTTATTAAAGATTATTACTTACTAGAGAATTGTATTTCACTATCTTTACATCTCTAATATATGCTTATTCAAATCTCTGATAGTTGATATTATAGTAGTCTCAGACTAATTTAATATATAAGTCTTATTTCTTCTCTATTCAATGTTAAGAAGTGTAAATATTAACTTGATAAGAGAAATTAAGTAAAGCTGCTACAGTATAGTACTCTGTAAAAGAGTGTTCAGTTTTACTGTAATAAGATCTTAGTTTATTTCTTACAGTAATAATAGTCTGTGCTATAGTTTTATCTCAGACTGAATTTCTTTTTAAGTCATTCAACTGCTTCTTAAGATGAGTAAATAAACTGTTAAACACTTATCAGACTAACTGCAGTATTAATGTATAAGTAATTGTGACTGTCTTTATTATCTTATAAAACTGAAACAGTAAATCAATCATATATTTTAACTAAGTTCATTTCATATCAGAAAGTTTCAATGTCTGAATCTTTTTTCAGTCAGAGTATTACACTTAATCATTAATTATCTGATGTAATTGAAGAATCTGAACAGTTCTCTTATATATTAAACTTCACTGTGTTTTAATATTCTGTATTATATTCAGTGATATGACTGATTTATTTATTTATTGAATATTATGAAATTATTATTATTGTTTAGAGAAGATATAAATTATATTAATAATATTTCAAATCTATGATATTTAAATTATTAGTCAATCTATTCAAAATTAACAGTAGTATTATTAAAAAGTGTTATTAAAAAATATTTTCTTTTATAAAGTGAATATAAAAGTTACTTGAGTAATTACTTTCATCTCATTTTTATCTCAAGAAACAGCTATCTTATTATTCTTTATCTTAATATTAAGATTCTTTATTAGTATTTGCATCATAAGTTGAATTATATAAGCAATGCAGAAAATATGATCTTGTTTATTATTTCAGAAATACAAAGTCAATTTTTACTTCAAGCTCTTTATTATAATGTAGTTATTTACAGTATTGTCAGTTATAATTGTAAGAAGACTGAGACTAATATTTCAACAGTTATTTTTAATCATAGTTATTAATATCTCTATTATATAATTCTCAGTATGACTACTGATTAATGATTCAAATTCAATTAATATCTCTTAATAAGTTCAGTTCTCATCAATATAATAATATATAACTCTTATAAATATAAGATTGTTTATACTAGTTTGTGTATTCACTGTAAGAGATACTCTTTAATACTTCTTCAACTCTGATTCTAGATATTATATATTAACTTTGTAGTATATCTTGAGATTGAACTGAAGAAATGCTTGATATAAAATATAAAGATTTAAATTAAGCATTTAAAGAAGTGTTAAGAATTCAGAATTTTCAATTAATTAAAGAGAAAGTTTCAGAGATATATATATATAAAGTAATTATTTATAAAAGTTATTAGATGAGAGTTATGAAATCAGAGTACTGATATATAATTATTTTCACATGATTTTCTTCAAATTAGAAAGTTAGTATTATCAAAAATTATTATCTGATAGAGTAACTTATCAATTTAATAGTAATTTTCTGATTATTTTTCTTTTATTAGCTGCATTCTAATGACTTCAGATATTAGAACATTTCATCAAAGTTATAATTAGTTTATAATAAATGTTTCTGAATGCAGTTGCAGTAATTATAGTAGAGAGATAACTCTTTAGTAATCTGTAATATAATTTATTAATAATTATTTCATAGTTCATCTCAATATTTGTATTAAGTTTTTCATAAATTTTATAACTTGAAATCAGATGTGAAGAATGAAGTAATTATTTATTATAATTAAAAGAGAGTATTCTGTGTTGAATTATAAATAATATTAACTTTGTAATTCACAGTAATTTTTTAAAGAGTTTGTGAATCTTCAACAGAAGTGAAAGAAGTGAAAGAAGTGAATTCAGAAGATATAATAAAGATTTAAGAAAGATAATAATTTATTTTTAATAAAGATAATAACTGATTACTGATATGTATAAGAAGAATTATTATAAGAGAAAATAATCTTCTTTCTTAGCTTAGTTATAATTTTAGTACTAACTCAGATTGAATATTATCAATGTATAAAAGTAAATAAACAATCGTAATTAATCTTGTGAAAGAGAGTGTTATTAAATTGTATTATCAGATAATATTATTAAAAATATATTAATATTATAAATATTAATATTGAAAAAATATTAATGCATATATATTAAACTGATTTGTGACTCATGATAGTTAAATATATATATAGATATTATTTCTGATATTGATAATTAATTACAACTTGTACAATAATTTTTGATAACTCAAAATTAATTTCAATTATTAACTAATAGTTATGAACTTATAACTAACTAATATAAAAAGAAAAAAACTTTTTCTACTTATTATCTTTCTTCTCTTTCTCATTCTTCTTATCATTCTTCATAATTTACTTCTTATTCTTATTTTTCTTCTTCTTCTTCTTATCTAAGATAATAATTATCTTAAAATCTCTCTTCACTATGTTTTCAGAGAAGAGTTTCTGCTACTTTCTCTCAGTTAGATTAATCTATATATTAAAATCCTGCATTTTCTGATCTGCTGTCTCAGGTTTCATCTCAGTAGTAAGCAGATTGATATGCTCAGAGAGCAGAGCTGTCTTCTTAATATTCTGAATTATGAAGTGCATTTGAGATCTGAATAAGACCTTAATTCTCTTCTTCTCTATAAGCTGCTGTTAATCAATTAGAGTATAGAAAGTATTATTAAACTTATTATCTTTTAATAAAAAACTTATCAGTTTTGACTTCTTTATCTTCTACTTTAATACTCTCTTAATCTTCTTTTATTATTACTTATTTATAGTAATACTCTTCTTCTCTCTGTCTCTCTTTGTGGCGGGCTGCGCCCGATCATTATATAGACTATTTCTTTACACTTCATAGATTCCGCTGAAAGCTCCGATTCTCAGTCATTCTCAATCGCTAATTCTCAGCTGAAAAACTCTCAGAATTTCTATTCTTCCACCCCGAAGCTGCACTGCATATGCAATGTGTACATGTATAAATATTCACTTCAATCACTGATTCTCACACTTTCTCTTTCTTTTTCTTCTTTAACATTTTTCACTTTGTTATATAAAATGTATAAAAATTATATCAATCTATTCAGTGTAGATCTCTTACACTTGAAAAATGTTCATTGGCTTCTTATTAGAAATGATTATTCATTAAGAAGATAGCTGAACACATAACAATGTGTAAGAAATAGAGAAATAATCAACAGTTAAGTGAACACTGAGTTCTCAGATAGATACTTACTTATCAGTCACTCTGACTCTGTAATAAGATCTTATGAAGAGAGTAAGATCTTATAAAGAGAATATCAGTGAAAGACTTGAGAGTTCTGATATCATAGATATATAAGATATTCATATAATTACACTTCTTCTAATTTTCACAGATATCACACATTCAATGATTGATATAATCATATCTAACAATAATATGAAAGAACTTCTAAATGTGAGTATAGATACAATATCACAGTAGCTCTGAGCAATGTTGAAATTACAACAGTAACAGATAGCTGATATACATGCAACTCAATAACATTAATACAAGAAAATTTAATAATAATGTTGACTAGAAATCTCTGCACAGACAATTCTAACACTGACAGAATTGAATATAAATGCAATACAGACACTGAAGAAATACTTAGATGCTTCTATATATTTTAATACTTCTAATCTCACTCTCTACTCATCATAGAGGTTGAAAATGCTTATAAAACTAAGTGTAGATGAAGATATCATCAGTTCACTAATCAATCAAGATTAATATATCAATAAATAGTTAAGAGATCGCATGAAACAAAAGTTTTATTCATGAATGAAAGCATATGAATCAGCATTGAAAACATCTGATAATATTATCAAATATTTTAATATTCTGTTCTGAGACACTGCTATACAACAGAAAGTATTAGATTGATTACAAAGTATCTGACAGAGAAATACTTCTCTCATAATATTTATCCCTGACTTTAACATCAAGATTCTAGAAGTAGATAGTCAATCTTAAGTACACTAATTATCAGAACTATGAATTTCATATTTAATCTCATTTAATCTGATCTCATACATTTCTTGATGTGAATTCTGCTGAGACTGACTATCAAAAAAACATGTAAAGTGACTATATATCAGATCTTAAAATGAAATCATGACTTGAAAAAAATAAGAAAGTGATCTCATTTAATTTCATTTAGTCTTATTCTTAGCATAAAGTTACTATTTTTAAACATTTTAAGGTTTTTTTTAGACTATTTTTAATTTTTTAAAAAGTAACACTTTTTGATAACACTCAAATGAAATTTAAAGTCATTTAAAGCAATAAAAATAATTTAAATTAAGAAGTGAAAATTATAATCTCATTTGAAAAATGTGATAAGAGTAGACAGTAAGTCTCACTGAAACAGTATAAAATCACTATCTAATGTTAAAACTATGTAATAAAATCAGTTAAATTGATAATAAGACTATCAAAAAATCTGATTCTAGTTTTAAACACAGTTACACAGTCAGTCTAATCTCAGCAGCCAGTCTAATTAAAAGGTTGCTAGCTTGTGAAAAGTTATATAGTGGAAGAATTAGTAAGCCAGGTCACATGACCTGACACCCTCATTTACCAGAGTAACTATACATGATGCTATATATAAAATTCGCCTTCAAATCAAGTACAGGTATAAAAAATGACTGGAAAATGTGTAGCAATGAAAAATCAGTCATGATATATATCATTTTTTATCCCTCTATCTCCCTATCTTCTTTATATTCTCTTTCCAACGTGTATATTTCAAACAGTTGACCTCTTTAACACAGGCCTTGTAATAATACTTCCATTTCATGGAAGCTTTGGCGCGCGTGAGGTTTTTCAGGATTGGAAGTGCAGCGATCTTGGGATCGGTGGGTAGGTCTTCAAGACTGTCCCTCACTGAAGCTTCCCCCACTGTAGTGATATCTCTTGTAGATGTCAGAGAATCATCAGATTCAACTGTGAGTTCTGAGGAGTTCAGTGTATTCTGCACTAAAAGGGTAGGTATTCTCGCGGAGATATCATAGTCAATCCACCAATTATTAGTGGGTATGAGAAATAATGGACACTCAGGTTGGATTTCCTCATCAATGAACAGATCATCAATTGATGGATCAGGAATTGCTGCAATCTCTTTACAGGCCGCAGTTGGTAGGCCTGGTGTCGCTGAAGGAATCGCCGCAGCCGCTTTGCAGGCTGCATTGAATAGGATCTTCAGATTGTGCATTGTAGCTGTTGTAGCTGTTGAGATGGTGACAGGATGATTGTTGACATTCTGTGATCGATCTGTAGAGAATCTCTGTTGACGGAGTTTTTCCAGTTGTAGTTCGAGTTCTAGGACTCTACACCTCTCCTTCTCTATCTCAAATGTCATCTTGAGATGTTCCATCTGTTGGTCTGATATTGCCCCGCCCGAACGGTAGACATCTGGGTGTCCAATATTCTCATCAAGAGAACCAGCTTCATCAAGCTGTCGAGTAGATTGGGGGGCCGGCCTGACCGTGTCAGGAGCTGTATTCAAACCAGCTTCGAATCGAGAGGGTGTTTCGACAATGGAGCTCATCAATGGAGCTTTCAAAAGCTTCAGAAGGATGTTCACTGGCAGAGTGTGAGTGTGAAGAATCATCATCATCAACTGCAACTGACTCAGTGGAAAGAATGTGAGATTGTGAATGTGTGTGTGAGTGAGATCTTATTGAATCCATCATCTTGATACTTGTTTATTGAATCCTTGTCAATATTGTTCTCTTTTCTTGCTTTTTTACAAATGTGATGTGTTTTCTGTAAGCCTCTTTTTTAAGTGAGCAGTAGTATTATTGATTATCAAGATCTCAAATGCATCAATACTGATAGAATAAGACAATTTTAACTCCTGATGAGTGTATCAAATGAAGCAGTAGTTCAATAATGATTATATTGACAAGGAATTCTGAATTGGCAGCAATTTTGCACAAAATGAGTCTCATAACCTGTGAAAGGTGTAAAGCTTGTGTGATTGAAAGGTTGCTAGCTTGTGAAAAGTTATACAGTGAAAGGATTAGTAAGCCAGGTCATGTGACCTGACAAGTTCATATTATATAGAACTATAATACTAACTGTGAAATAGAACTTATATATATTGATTACAATTAAAAATCAGATAAAACTATATACTTATAAAACTAAATTTGACTGCTATTTTCAAGATAATCTGATAAATTTATACATCAAATCAATTCTAATGTTATGAAAAATTATTAAGAGTATATATTCAACTATTATTGTAAGAGGCCTACGCCGAATAGATCGGTATAATAGATAGGTCTTATATAACAAAGATAAAAATGTTAAAGAAGGAAGGAAAGAGAAAGTGCGAGAATCAGTGATTGAGGTGGATATTTATACGCGTATGTGGTGGAGCTTCGGGGCGGAAGAATATACACGCGTTCGTAGCGGCCGAGGATCAGTGATTGAGAATGGCTGAGGATCGGAGTGTATGTGGAATCTGTGAAGTGTAATGGAATAGTCTATATGATTGATCGGGCGCAGCCCGCCACATTAGTCTCCCCTTTTCAGAAGCAGTTCTCATCGGTCAAGAGCTGCTGTTTCAGATAACACAGAACTCAGAGTTCAGGTTGATTGATTGTAGCTGATTCATTTCACAAGATACTGTCAGCTGCAGCTGTGTGATCTCTTATCAAGAATTTCTTCAATCTCTCACTCAAGTTCATTATCTTCTTCTATGATCCCTGGCAGTTGTCAGTCAGAAGTCAGTTGAGAAGGAAACAGATTAGTAGCAGTACAGTGAAGCAAGCTTGTATAAAATATATTATGAATTTTTGATGATGTGTTAAGGCAGTAGTTATAACTATCTAGAACTTCTATTACTTTATACCTGATATAGCAGTAATCTAGCATACAGAATGAATATGTGATTTATATATTCTTAAGATTCAATTATATCAGATCTTCTATCTTATATTGTTCAGCAGAGTCTTAGTGAACATTGATTTAATTCTCTTAATCTTGTTTCATAGTTGTCATAGAGACCTCTGCTTAATCACAGACATCTCAGAGCTTTATTACTATATTATTAACAATCTGAATCAGACTGCAGAGATTCAGTGTGAACTGTGTAGTCTCTAGAAGATTCAATACTTTCATGTAATATCTGTATGTAAGAAAGAACAGGCTTATATCTATTAAAATAGTATCTTGACTGTTGATAGTAATCTCTGTATATAGAAGAAAATCATATCAATCATCTTATAAGTGATTACAGAACTTATAAAGATAATTCTTTACAGTCTGAATTATTTATTCTGATACATCATCAGTCTCAGAGTGATAGACAGTTAATAGACAGTATATAATCTTGAGAACTTGATAGATTCTAGTTTAGAAAGTGCTTACAAATTAACAACTCTGATTTAATACTATGAATCTCAGTAATTCATACATCTGATAGAATAGACTCTGTAGAAAGACTTCAGTAATTTATTCAGTATTCATCTTATTACAAGATTTTAATATTATATCTTTACTTAATTAATTCATAATGATCAGAATATTTCTACAACTCTTACTCTCAGATAGATTGATAGTGAAGTCAATTATTACATCTTACTAGATTCTATCAGAAATATTAAGTGATTTTAATAGATCTTTTCTATAATTCTTTTATAAGATAATAGAAGAACAGTAGTTACAGTTTCAGACAAAGTATCTGATACTGTTTAATATCTCAGATTAATAGAATTCTCAGAAGATTATTCTATACAGTTGTTCACAGTCTGAATAATCAGTTATACATGAATCATGCATCTCTTATATTATCTAAGTATATAAGAATTCAGAGTGAGAGACTCAGCATTATTCACAGAATCATAGAGTGTTATTATTATTAATTAAATATTATGAGATGTTAATTCTTACTTATAATTCTGAGAGAAATTGAGATGCTTCTTATTATACTGCTTCAGTGAGTGCTTGAAGAAGTTTATCAGTTTAAGCTGCTATATATTATAGCTCATCTAATATAGGTTCAGAAGAAGTTAAGATATCAGTGACAGTTCTAATCAGAGAAGTATATATAGTACTGTAAGCTGTTTTATCTTGATTAACTAGTATCTTCAGATTTAAGAGCTGATGCTCTCAGTTCATTCAGTGAGTATCTGTTACATCAGATGATATATCTTACTCTTATTATAAGAGAGCATCTATCATTGAGTTCTGACTGTCAGAACAGTAGTTTATTATAAAATGAAAGTGACTTAAGAACTCAGATCATTGTATCTGTTATTTAATAAGTTTATAGATAGTTATGAAGTATTTAAGATTCTTATAATCTATAACTATCTCAAACTCAGAGACACTTCAGAGTTCAGAGTCTCATTCTTTTAAACAGTATACAATTGTAAGAAGTTTCTTATCATAGATCTCATAATTGCATTCAGTGAGACTCAGTTTCTTAGATATAAAGATGTATAATTATAGAACATCTTCATTATCATATTATAATATCACTTCTTCTGTTATATAGTCAAAGAAATCAGCTTCAACAACTGTCTTACAATCAGAATCAAAGATTATCAGCAGAGAAGTATTAATAAATATCTTCTTCATCTGTATAAATGTAGCTTCAGTATCTACTGATCATTGAAATACTGAGTCTTTCTTAGTGAGATCTGTAAGTAATCTCATAATATCTGAGAAGTTTTATATAAATCACTGATAGAAGTTAGTAAATCTGATGAAGCTTCATACATCTTTCACAGTACACAGAGCTTCTTATTCAAGAATAATAGAGACTTTCTCAGAATTTATTTAAATTCTCTTATCAGCTTCTATAATAAAACTCAGATACTTAATACTCTTGACTTTAAAATCATACTTATTAATATCTATCAGTAGTTCTGCTTCTCAAAGTTATTGTAATATCTTTTATACATATTCTTGATATTCTTTTCTGAATTCATTGATGAAGATGAGAATGTCATCTAGATAAGCAGATACAAACTTATCAAGAAAATCTCAGAGTACTCAGTTAATATACTTCTGAAATGTACTGAAGACATTAGTCAGTTCAAAGAGTGTGACTATTCATTCAAAGAGATTATAATATGTTTGAAATGCTGTAAGCCATTCATCTTCTTCAGTAATATGAATCTTATGAAATGTGGTGATGTGGTTCGGAAGAACGTACAATCATCAGATAATAACGCGGCCGCTTCTGAACTACTAGCGTACGCGTATGAGTGTAAAGGGGCCATAGCGGCCGCTAATTAAATTAGCATATGATATTACAATATATAAGAAGCCGGCATACGCCTGTAATTGTATGCTGGCTTAAGCAACCTTTGAATCACATCTGATAGCATGTCTAAAAATCAGTGAGAAGTGCAGGCTTCTTCAGGGTGTGATAATTCCATCTACAAAGTGATTCATAGTTATCATGCCAGTGTGGTTCTAGAATGTCTCAAAAAGATAGCATATGAAGAGTGATAAGTGAAAGAGCATCTGATTGATGCTGCTTCACTTGTTAAGGGAAAACTCCACACCCAGGCGAATGTCATGTATGCGAATAGATGAGATGTGAGAAAAGGGATGAAAGTGATGAACTAGATTCAAAGAAGATCACTCTTCACTCAAAGAAATAAAAGAGAGAAGTGGCCATCAGCGGAGTCATACAATGATAACAGAAATCATATAGTGATATAATGATACAGCAATATAATAATAGACATTATATAATCAATGAGAAATCACTGAAATGAATATCTCTTCTAGTTGATACAAACAACACTCTTCTCTGCTACCTGAACTGAAAGATATGCAGAACCTCTTAGAGGGTTTACTCAAAGCAGTAAGAAAAGCAGTCAAGATCACTGAATCAGAATCAAAGCTCTGTACATGTACAAGAATTCTAAATGAGATTGAGGCCTTGTGTACACAGTGACAGACTGAGATGAAAGTTAAACAACAATTGACATTCACTATAAATCAAGTATTCACTATGAAGAGCTTTGCTGATGCAATCATCATTATCAATAAGAATAGAGAAAACCAGATCTTAGATCTGCAGCAGAAGATTAAATGTTTATACAGATAGATGACTACACTGAATCTAAAGATTCTATCATGATTGTTCATAATCTCTTCAGAAGTGTATATATTATCAGAGACTGCTGTGCAGAATGAGAATCTGAGTATGAAATATATCAAGTCAGAAGATCTGTCAGAGTTATCAAGCTTTAATAATAACTGAAAAAATAATGCTGCAATCAGCTAGCTAAGTCAGATGTGATTATATTATTAAATTAAACATGAACTCACAGACAGACAGTTAACAGAATTTCAACAAGTCTTAAGATCTGTTATATTTCTATATGAAAAAGTGAAGTCATTATAAATGACTGATAAAAAGATAAATCTCACAGACTCAGAGTGATATTCATTCTCATGAATATGAAATAAGTTTTTCAAATGAATCTTATACAACTTTGAGAAAGTGAATATATAAAATAAGTATTATGAATGCTTCACTGAGTGTAGATAAGTGAGTAATCTTATATTATACTTCATACACTTCAGCTTACACTATCTCATGTTAAATGAAGAGCTTTTAACATCTTTCTGTTTACAGATCTT